CCAGCAGATCCACGCCTATGTATACACCCACGAGAAAGGAATGCCTGTGCCTATCAGACATGTACTAGAATGTTTATAGCAGCACTATTCATATCCTGGAGTAGTCTGAAAAGTACCTGAATACCTCTCAAGAGAAGAGCTAACGTGGTATAATCACACAGTGGAATACTATACAGCAAAAAGAATAAACTATCATTACTCCAATAACACGGATGAATCTGACAAACACGTTGAGTAAAAGGTGGCAGACAAAATAGGCCAAATGAATTTTTATGCTGTTAGAAGTCAGGAAGGTAGTTATCTTGGAGGGTGTAGCAACTGGAAAAGGGTGTGAGAGGGACTTCAGGGTCATGGTCTGCTTCTTGATCTGGGTGCTGGTTACACGGGTGTGTTCAGTTTATGACAATTTAGTGAGATATACACACCTAAGCACACCTTTCTGTGTGTATATTTCAGCTCAATAAAAAGTTTTAGAAATAAATTAATGTATTTGCAAATGCCAACAGAAGTTAAATTAAATCTTTGTGCTGCTTTTAGAACCACTTTTACTTTGGAACTATAGAAGAATTGTGTGAAATGTCAAGGAAAACAAAAATCCTACCTGTTGCAATTCCACACACGTTAGGATTCCCTTCTAAGTTTGTCTGTGGCTCCTTACAACAGAAGTGCAAAGCTAAGATTAAGGCCCAGCCCCAGCTGGTGTTGCTCAGTGAATTGAGCGCTGGCCTCTGAACCAAAAGGTCTCCAGTTCGATTCTCAGTCAGGGCACATGCCTGGGTTGCAGCCCAGCTTGGCAGGTAGGAGCCTGTGAGAGGCAACTGATTGATGTATCTCTCACACATTGATGTTTCTCTCCCTACTCCTCACTCTATAAATAAATAAATAATTAGGAAAAAAAAGAAAAGAAAGAATGCCCAGTACTGAATAATGTCACAAATGTAAACTTGAAAGCAACCTGAAACTTTTGAATAGTGTCACCTGTGTAAATGGTCCCAGCTCCCAGGCTTCATAATAAAAGTTGCTGCTCTGTCTGCGGAGCAATCACGTTATCACAGTTCTAAAACCTTTCTAATCACGAAAAAGTGTTATGACAGAAAAGACACCCATCGTTTGTCTTTGTATTTTCATTTTCCCCAGACAAAAAGCTACAATACTGGGCTGTTCAGTTTAATATCGATACCTGGCAACCCTTCTGCCACTACTTGGCACACGACTCTTAGTATCCCTGTTTTTAGTATCCCATGGAGCCAAGAGCACATCGTCTGGGATTCTCCAAATCCCATTTTATCTTCAGCATACCTGAAGAAAGTGGTGCGATGGGAACAGATGAAGATATCAAACATTGTGTAAAATTACAGCAATAAACAGAAAAGTCAATTTAAAGCTTCAAAAGCTAGACCTACATAGCAGAGTGCACACACTGCAAACCAACCAGACAGGGACTTTCGCTTACACGTCCCCAATTAAAATCAAGTGGAGAAAATAAAAAACCCATTAAATAAACAAACAAAATCTAGTATACATGCCTAGATTGCTTGCTTTACCCAGTGAAACAAAAGTACCTCATTTTCTTATTAAAAAAAAAAAGTTTTGTTCAAAACATGTCAATGAGGACAAATTACCAGAATGACAGAAAATGTTGTTGACATCTTAGATCACCAAATTATAAAATGGTATTTGTTTTGTGCATTTGTTAGTCACTAAAAACTAAATTACTATACAAAAATGGGAGGGATGGAAGCTGGCACAGTAAATGACAGGTGGACACTGGTCACTCATAGGCTTTGGGACTCAGTTTCTTAATGGTAACAAAATCCATACCACCTTGAGGGATGAGGTATATTAGAATGAAACAAGCACTCTATGAAAGTGTTGAGGCAGGGTGGGAGTCTGGCATAAGACAGGACTTTTACTAAAAGTCCATTTATTCAACACACATGCACACCTACTATGTGCCAGGATCTGTTCTAAGTATTCTAATACAACAAAACAAAGCTCTTTTCCTTTAGGAGCTCATATGCTAGTTGGCATGGGAAGAGAGATAAACATAATAAATAAATATAGTATACCCTTAGGTAGGTAGGCGGGATTGCAAGACGGATGGCATTGTGGGCAATTTTAAAGAGTTGTTCGAGTAGGATTCTCTGAGAAGGTGAAATTTAAACAAAGACACTGTGTCCCCTTTTCCCTTTTCATTTTTACGTGTCATTTCCCCCCTTCACCGCTACTTTAGCAAGACTGATGCGAGTATGACAGCCCCAGATGGTGTCATACCAATCCCTCCTCAACTTCTTACTACTTTGAGTTCTAACTTCTAGGAAGCTTGTGGTAACTCTTAATTAAGGGTGTTTTTTTTTTTTTTTTAAACTTTACTTCTTCCTTGCACCACCAAAGTATATACTCATCAGAAAACCATGCAAAGCTACAAGCAAGCTGCAAATTATGGGCATACTATAGACTGAAGTGTGGGAAAGGGGAGGGATCTTGGTCTAATTCTTAATTAGCAACAGTAACATTGCTTGACATTTTGGGGCTTCGCATGCCATTCCTTTGTGAAGCTGTAAAACACACATCTTCCTGGCATTTAGCATGGGTCTCCAGCAGTCATTTGTCTAAGTGTATATTTAGAAAACTCTGCAAATGTGTAAATATTTAAAGATATTTGATACTGCATACAGAGGATCACACTTCTTCATAATCCCCATTTTCTCTAAAGAATCTATTCCTTTATTTCAAAGTGGGAGAAATTTGAGTATTTAAAAAAACTTACACCCATACAAACAAGTCATAAAATCTCATCTGCAGGTGGCTTTTGTAAACGCACCTGGTTAGCTTATGGTTCTATTAGTAAAACATTGTAGATTGCTAGGTAACATAAAGGAAGTCTCTTTTTTAAAAGAACTAGCTGGACTCATCAACGCTGCCAGTAGGTTTTTACCATATTAGGCTTAAATTGTTTTCAGCTTTGGTAGTGGGGCAGCGGATGGGGAGCAAGAACCCAATGAGCAGGAGGTGAAAGAATTTCAGGCTTTCAATTCAGGCCTGTGAATATAAAATTTCACTGCGCATTTCCATCCCAGACAAAGCATGAGCTAGCAGCATTCACTTCACAGATTGCAGATAAACTTCTTGTCTAGGGTTGTAAATTCTTATTCTACCATCAACATAAAAAAACAAAAAACAAAAAAACAACCGTAGAGCTTTAACGAGGAAATGGTGAGTGAAGTCAATCAACAGACATCCGTGAGCTTTTAATGTACTTTAAAACACCTGGAAATACAAAGCAACGAGGTACTCATAACCTTTCCACATACGAAAATTATTTACACTGCCATACATCACACACACGCACACCCCGACTGAGATCCACACTTCCCGCCCTGCCCCCCGCCCGGGGGGACGCCACGAGCCGAAGCGAAGCGTGGGGCGCGCGCTGGAGGCCCCGCAACTCACGCGCGCGCACAGCCCCTCCACGGAGTGAAAAGGCTGGAAGGGAAAGTCAGGGATAAGTGGAGGAAAAAGCAAAGCCAAGCAGGTTACTTTGTGGCACCTGACGCCCCGGCTCAAGCTGTTAGCGCCTCTCCGGCCGGAAAGCTGCCCGCGCCGGAGCCTAGGAGGCGGGGAGGCGGGGAGGGGCGGGGAGGGGCGCGCGCTCGCGCGGCCCCGCAGCCCCGCGGCCCCGCGGCCCCGGCCTCGAGGGCGCCGCGCGCGCTCCGCCTCCCACGGGCCGAGGTCGGGGCAGCGGCCACGCCCCACGTCTCCGGGGACGGACGTCGCGTGTGCTCGCCGTGAAGAGACCCCCCACTCCTGACCCACCATCTTCCCAAGCGTTTGAACATTAACAACCGCGACACGAACGCAACGCGTGACCAGTCCAACTGCAGGGGTTTCTTAAGTTCCGTCGATCAAGGAAACACAGGGCTAAGGAACAGGTTTCGGCCACAGGGGCTCCCTGAGCCCCCACCCGCCCTGTCGACGGGGTCCGCGTGTCTATACATCATAATCCGCACGTTCCTGTACTTTTGTAGTCAGATGAAGGAAATAAAGTTTTCTGAACTTCAAAATACAGATCATGAATCTATCTTCCTGCTGTTTTAAAATTCGTATCAAGTCAACAAAATCCTCTGATTTCAGGAATGCACGCAGACCCTGCCCAACCAGAGACCGGATTTTAGGGTTTAAAAAAAAAAAGAGAAAAGTCCAAAACTGACCACACTGTGGGCCTCAGAAATGACTGTACATGACTTTGGAAAACTTTAAAAGTCTCAGGGGTTCCAAGAGCCTAAGCCGAATTAAAACAAAAGTTGTTCTGTATTCTATTAATAGCAGATGATTAAACACGTATCTTATTCCCACTGGAATTCATTTATAAGTAGTTAAACTGACTCAACGGGTCACTAATCCTAAGTCTATGTCTGTTTCTGGGAAAATGCTCGCGCGACGAAGGCAAGTGAAGAGAATGCCCGTCACTGCGTTCCTTGAGGTCCGGTGAGAACCTCAGGTGCGGCCGGACTCCAGTAAAAGCCACGCCGAACGGCGCGCCGCGGGCGCCAGGGCGAGGGCAGGGTCGGAGGGCGCGGGTTTCGAGCCCCCGAGCACCGCGCCGCGGGGCCCTGGGCCGCTCGGCTCACCGGGCGCGCCCGCCAGTCCCTCCCGGCCCGGCCCCGCGCAGCCCTGCCTTCGCGGGAACGAGCTCGGCCCCGGTCTCCGGGAGCTCCGGCGCGGCCACGACGCCGGGGAGCCGCTGGGAGCGGGACGTGGCCCCCGAAACGGCACCGATCGCCCTCATTCCGCCAGCGCCCCCGAATACGTCGGGTTGTCAACGAAGTCGCTCCCTGGGCGTCTCCCGCGCCCGGGGCGGCGGGGAGGGGGAGGGGAGGCCCTTCCCGCGTAAAGTCCCCTCCTCGCCCCAAGGTGTAAAAGCCAGACCCTCGGCTGGCCAGGCCGCCCCGCTTGCTCGGCCTCGAGCCCCGAACCCCGGGGCGCCCCGGCCCGCGTACCCGGTAGGTGTTCTCAGTGAGCCGGTTCACCTCCTCCGGCCCCTTCGACATGGCTGCAGCCGCCGGACGGGCGAGCGCGGGAGGACGCGGCAGGGCCTCGTGGCCGCCCGACCCTGGGCGGCGGGAGTGCGGGGGCGCGACTGAGGGGCCCTTGAGGGTCGGCCGCCGCCACAGCCGTGGGCCCGCGAGTGCCGGCGCGCGTCTCCGCCGCCGAAATGTCAAAACTTGCAGCGCCGCCGCCTCCGCCGCGGAAGACCGCCGGGAGCTGAGGAGACGCGGCCTGACGCCAGCTGGACGAGCGGGCCGGGCCCGGCCGCCCCACCTGAGGCGAGGGGGTGGGCGGGGCCGAGTGGGCGGGGCGGCCACTTGGGAGCGCGGCCGGGTTGGGCGGGGCGGCCCCACCTGAGTCGGTTTAGGTGGGCGTGGCCTGGAGGCCGGGGGGACGGGAAGGAGGCGGGCCGAGCCTGGTGGGAGGGTCACAGCGGCCCGGGTGGGCGGGGCGGAGGCGAGTTGGGCCAAGTGGGCGGAGTGTGCCCACCTGCGTCGCACCGGGCGGGGCCGCTGACCTGTGCCCCCTCGCTTCCGGAAGGGCACCCTTGGTGACTCAGGGACCCCGCGAGGCGTCGATAGCTCGGGTTTCTTTTCTGGTTGGATAGGACCTGCACCGAGGGCGGTCGGGCCTCTGTGTTCCTAGAGCCTTCCCGTGTCCCGCATGGAGCTGGTCTCGGAGGCCCCGAGACCCACGCTCTCCGCGGGCGCGGCGTCCTCCCCTCCTCCCCTCCTCCTCTCCTCCCAGCCCTGACCTTTGCGCACCTCGGGAAGAGGGGCCCACGTCCTCCAGTTGCTTTGATTTCCCCGCTCCACACCTTCCCGCGCACCCCCCTCTTGCTGACCCCAAAGATTCGAGGGACCCCATGGCAGGGGCTCTCCTAGATGAAGAAGGGGGGCCGGCCACTTGCTGTTTGGGAAGTTTCTCATATATCAAAAATTAATAAATGCCAAGATCTGGTTTCGTGTGTAAACTTTGCATTAAGAACGACATTTAACTCAATGCAACCTCACCATGCTATTCACAAGATTTAGAAATCTGTGCTGAGCTGGGGTACGAGGCAACTCTTCCTTTCAGCACTCCGAGCCTGAGCAGGTGTGGACTCCCTACACTTCGCGTCTGTCTTTGCCCCAGCCCCAGCCCAGACTCTGAGGATCCAGAACAAGCTTCTCCCAGCGGGAACATCACTTGGCATCTGAGACATTCACCCAACAAGCTTGGCGGGAAGTTTTAGTCTGATTTTTTAAAACTTCTGTCTGGGTGCAATTGCACCTTTTATGGGCTGTTAAGATATGAGGCTTCTCAGCTTCTCCTGTGATCAAGTTCACCGGGAAATGCACACAAAGACAGCACTGTGTGGCCCAGGTGGGAACTCCAAGTGTATGAGTTGCTGCTGGACTTAGACCAGAAACAAACACTTGGACTCTGGGACGATGTTACGGGATTTGCCAGCTATAGAACATATCTTGCTTAGCAACTACAAGGTTGAGTGTTTTTGGATGTTGGGGGAAATCGCACATCAGTTCTAGGTTGTAGGCAGTGGAAGCAGCTGCCTCCTTTTTGAACAGGTCTCCAGTATTCAGTTCACAAGATTTGCCAATTGAGTTTCTTTTGCCGTAGTGAAATGTACTCATGGCCTAATTACCACGGGTATGCATTGGGCTTCTCAAGAATGTCTGTTAGTTTTCATTTAAACTTGAAAATCACTGACTTGACTTTGAAGATCATCTTTTAGAACTTTCCTCTGTGCCTTCTGATGAATGGGGTCATCTACCCTCAGCTGCAAGGCAGTCAACCAAGGAGGTGAAAAGAGAGCAGAGGCTTAACGTTTAACACTCCACCGCTCAGCAGGGTGATTTAGACCCAGAAGAGACCGATTAACAAACCACCATAAAACCAGCAGGTATCTCAGATGGTCCAATTTGATTGCCAAAGTTGGAACTTGATCTAAGGGCCAGGTTCATAATTGTATGCAAATCTTCAAACAGATATTCGGCCATTTTAAACTCTCCTTTATAGAAATAATTTCCTGGTTAGGACCATTCTGCTCCTTTAGAAGTCTTCAAGAATGGTCAGTGCTGGGTTGGTACCGACATTAAGAATAATGCCCTTCAGCCCCCCGTTCAGTGCTTGGCACGTGGATCCCTGGCAGGTGTTTGTTGAACAAAAGAGCAAGTGAGTATGGATGATCTGCTCTGTGCCAGGTGCTGTGCTGGGGCTGCAGGAGTGCGGAGTGACCTGGGCTTGACCTAAACCTTTAATCCGTGTGCAGGAGGTAGACCTTCAGGAGCAGACGATGAAAGCTGTAGTAGAGGTGCAGCCAAACGTGCTGTAGATGTTCAAGGGTGGGAGTGCTCTCAAAAGGCCGTTTGTATTAGGTCCTTCCGTGTGAGTTTGTGAGTTTCAGGTGAACTTGAAAACTCCCATTCGTAGTTGTCCTGAGACTGCATGATGCTCCGAGCAAACGGAAGTGAATCGATAGGAAGGAATGAGTGAGGAGAAGGTGAGGAGCAGCCCTGGCTCCAACAATTCTCTAGGTCGGTGTGGTGACGTTGCACTCTCTCTGCACTCTTTTGGCCAGGCCTGTGTTGCACAGACCAAGGGACAAGCAAACAAATGACAGCTCACCTGCCCAGAAAGCCCCATAGCCACTCTCCCACCGCCCAGAACACAGGCCTGGAGAAGAGCTGGCCTGGCTGCACCGGAAACCGGTACCGCACCTCCCCAGGTGCGGGCAACCCGGGCTGTTCCCCCACTGTGGCTCCTGCTTGAGTCTAAATAACCAAAAACCCTCTTTATGTTAACAAAAGTTGTAAGACACCATTGCTGGTGAAAATGTCAATAAGATTTTGAGAGCTGTGCTCCAAACAGGCTCAGGTTTTAATGTCTTTTTGAACTTACTCCAGGGCCTGCTGAGGGGCTCCCTACCTTGATGGGTGCTCTGGGTGTCCAGGAGAATTCTGCTGTTCTGCGGCAAAAGAGGTCCTGCCGGTGGCAGCAGTTTGGGCCAAATTCCCATGTAAAATACCAAGAGAGAGGGTGTGAAAGAGATGTATGATCTCTCCATACAGCTAAACTATCAGTCAGTGCTGAGTGTTTGTATTCTGAAAAAGCAAATGGGACTTGAAAACCCCTTTACTTTTCTGGAACTTTCTTCCATCCCAGACAGCATTAACTTCTCCAGCTTGCCCAGTTCATCCCTGCTGCCTAGTTTTTCACTCCGCTGTTGGCGTCTTCCCGAGTGTCCTGCTCCTGCCCCACAGCATTTTCCTGTGATTTGGGTCTCAGCCCCAGGCAGCCTCACCGAGCCTTTCCCAGCCACTCTGGTTCAGAAGGATCCTCATAAAAAGTCTTCTGGTCCACGAACATGAACATCCTTCCACTTAGTTAGGGCTTCTTACATTTTTTTAAACAATGTTCTGTAGTTTTTAGGGTATAAGCTTTACAGCTTTTGTTCAATTTATTCCTGGGTATTTTTGTTTTCATGCTATTATAAAGGGAATTGTTTTCTTGTTTTCATTTTCAGGTGTTCATTATGAGTGTATAGGTATATGTATATATATATAGAGATATATGTATATATGTATAGTGTATTGATTTATGTATATTGATCTTGTAACCTGCAATATTGCTAAGTCTATTAGTTTTAATAGTTCCCAGACTGAGGTAATTCCCTTCAATTCTGAGTTTATTTTTATTAGAAAAGGTGTTGGAATTTGTCAAATGCTTTTTCTTTATCTGTTGAGACGATCATGTAGCTTTTGTCCTCCATTCTGTTAATTTGGTGTATTACAATGATTGATTTTTGTATGTTGAATTAACAAGCCTTTATAAGTTGCTGGATTCAGTTTGCTAATATTTTGTCAATGACACTTGTGTCTCTTACATTCATAAGGGATATTAGTCTGTGGTTCTCTTGCAATGTCTTTGGTTTTGATATTAGGGTAATGCTGACCCTATAGAAGGGGTTGGGGAGTGTTCTCTTATCCTCTATTTTGGGGAAGAGTTTGTCAGGAATTGATATTTGTTTTTCATTAAATGTTTGGTAGAATTCACCAGTGAAGCCATTTAGTTTTGAACTTCGCATTAAAAAAATTTTTAAAACTACTAATCCAACTTCTTGTTATAGGTCTTTATTTTTTTTCAATGTAATAGCCTTATGGTTTCTATTCCTTCATCTCTTTAATCATTTACAATATTCTTTTATAGTCTCCACCAGATTTCTCTGTGTGGTTTCTGTCAGCTTTCTTTTGTTTGGTTGTTATTGTGTCTTTCGGCCGCAGGCATGCCTGTGGATGCCCCGTCATGGTGGATCACATCCTTTCATTATTTTTATTATGAAGTCATCTTTAGTGGCCTTCACCTGAACATCTTTAGTTTTGTCTGTAAGACCCCTGTGGGCCTGGCTTGTAAAGTATTTCTCCAGAAAAAGTTTCGCATTTGTTCCTGGTAGGCATTCTGTGGGAGGGTGTAAAATTCAGACTCTGTGCCTGTCACACTATACGGGCGCGGTGGGTTAATCTCTTTGAGGATATTATTGCCTTCTGTTAAAGACCTCAGCTAAGCCAAACTCCTCTGTCCTCGCCCTCGGGCCCCTCTCGCTGGCCTGCGGTCTTCTGAGGGCCCCACGTGCACGAATGGGTCTCAGCATCTGCCCCGGTCTTGCACAGGCTCAAGTCCCTGCACGGGCGAAACACTTCCATGTGAAACACCTGACTGTTCGGGCCCATTCCCAGCTCCAGGCCTCCCATCCACACCCCCAAGGCCGCCATGGCATCTGTTCCAGGGCTTGGTGTGCTTCTCTTTGGGTTTTTGGTACTGGAGTTGTTTGCTTCTTTCTTGCAAACTCAGCTATGTGTTAACATATTTTTGTTACATTTTATTCATAATTTTAAGTATTGGTGATTGGAGGAATTCTGGGTCTCCAGGCCACCAGAAGCCTGAAAGGGCCTTTGTAGTTTCCATCCGAGACTGCTCAGGGAGTGATAAGGGGAGGCCCGGGATCACGTTCCAACTGGCCTCTCTCGAACATAGGACCTTGTGAGGCATTTTTCACTTCTTGGTCTCAGTTTTTTCACCTCTGAACA